TCAGGTGTGTACAGGTTCAGGTGTGTACAGGTGTGTACAGGTGTGTGTACAGGTTCAGGTGTGTACAGGTGTGTACAGGTGTGTGTAAAGGTGTGTGTACAGGTGTGTGTACAGGTGTGTGTACAGGTTCAGGTGTGTACAGGTTCAGGTGTGTTCAGTTGTGTACAGGTGTGTGTTCATGTGTGTGTTCAGGTGTGTGTACAGATGTGTGTACAGGTTCAGGTGTGTTCAGTTGTGTACAGGTGTGTGTACAGGTGTGTGTACAGGTTCAGGTGTGTTCAGGTGTGTGTTCAGATGTGTGTACAGGTTCAGGTGTGTTCAGTTGTGTATAGGTGTGTGTACAGGTGTGTGTACAGGTGTACCCTCGCTGTCCGGCCTCCTGCTCCTCCTCATGTAGACGCGGGGGCAGTCTGTGGGGGGGCAGGACCTGGAGGAGGGGGGGCTGCTGGGCGTCACCAGCGCCTCCTGAGACGTGGCATTGGTCAGCTGTCGGTACCGCCCCCTCGGAGGAGCAGCCAATGAGACGCCTTCATGGTCCGGGGAGCGGCGCACCTGAGGACAGAAGGTCAGGAAGACTCTGCTCTCTGTGTTTCATCTTAACGTGTCACAGCTGTCTGAGCTCTGATTGGTCTCACCAGCGAGGCGTCGAAGGAGAAGGCGGGGCTTCTAGCCGACAGCAGCGAATCAGGAGAGGGGGAGGAGCCTCGCACGGCCAGGTGGAGAGGTGAGTGAGTGGAGTGTAACGGACTCTCCTGAAACGATTCACAGACAGCAGGATGGCATTTGTTTAATTTCCTTTCCTTTTTAATCTTGAATAGAAAAAAAGCCCAGTTCCCCGCCCTGAGTTTTACAGGAGGGAGCTGAGGTCTAAGACATTGCTGTTGCACACTTAGTAACTAATTGTGTTTTTTTCATATTTTTTAACAGTATTTTTATATTTTTTAACTGTATTTATATTGTTTTGCAGTATTTCTGTCCTCAGCGAACCTTCCTCTCCAGGCTGTCGTCGCCCTCCGTGGAGCTCACGCTGTCGCGGTAGCGGGACCGGGAGGGCCTCTGCCTCCGGGCCCTGACGGACAGCTGGGCGCGGCCCTTCTGGATGCTGTTATCCAGAAGCTCTGTCTCCGGGACCTCGTTCAGGTCTGAAACACCAACACACACTGCAGTAAACACAACAACTGTGGTCAATAATCATTCACTTTATACACACAAAACACTCTTTAAAGTAGAGACACTACATACTGATATACACCATAGAACATCAGCAGGAGAGGACTCTTTAAAGTAGAGACACTACATACTGATATACACCTGAACATCAGCAGGAGAGGACTCTTTAAAGTAGAGACACTACATACTGATATACACCTGAACATCAGCAGGAGAGGACTCTTTAAAGTAGAGACACTACATACTGATATACACCTGAACATCAGCAGGAGAGGACTCTTTAAAGTAGAGACACTACATACTGATATACACCTGAACATCAGCAGGAGAGGACTCTTTAAAGTAGAGACACTACATACTGATATACACCATAGAGCATCACATGTCCTCTTTAATTACATTTTAAATGCATCCCGTTTATTTTCCTGTTTTTGAACCTTTGGTCTTAACATTTTAGAAATAAAGAACCCATCATTACCATATATCTATGAGTGAATGCAACATAGGTTTGTGTTTATTCAGAGGCGTAGAGTACGGTAGTTCATTATTGTTGTTATTTAATGCAAAATAAGTGGGTTTTGTGTGAGAGGAATAAAGAACCCTAATCATGCTGCAAAACACTTCTCTGCAGATAATACAACACACTCATACTGTGTGTTTAATCATATCTGTGCAAGCTTTGTGAACAACAACCATGAAGTGTTTATCCAGTATAACTCTGTGAAAGGGGAACATGTTATTTTCTGCTGAAGACGGAATAAATCTGTCTTTATAATCGGTCCAACAACACGACAACCTGCCACCATCTGTTTAAAGTTGCTGCTTAAAGAACAAGTTGCTTCTCTACAGAAAGTGGTCGGTGTCAGTTTGAAACACACATTTAGTGTCTGTCTGGACGTTTGAGTATAACATCTCTGCAAAACTGATGCTCCAAGCAGAGAAAAGTGTTTGCAAAGATGCCTTTCTTTCTGACGAGTCCTTAGAAGAGATATTGAATTTTGTAAGGCTGTCATAGAAAACAGCAAAGAAGAAGTCTTAGTAAGCAAAGCGGTTCTTCTTTCTGTCAACAAAACACCTACAAAAGAATTCATCCATGCCGTCACTGAAAGGATCAAATACAACGGCTTCTGCTTCCCTGTGTTTATTTCCTGCAGACTTTCATTATAAAAACTCCTTATAAGGAAATTCAGCAGAATTATGTCCAGAGGGATTTCAATGTTTTATACGATACGTGACGGAGAACGTGGCTGCAGCATTACAAAGCACCTCAGCGCTGATTATGGGATTAACCCACTCTGCAGGAAGCCATATAGCTCCTAGACAACGCCTCACTCCTTCTGACTGACATATGCTATATTTTAATGTCATGTTTTTAACACACTGAGATGTATGAAGCTTTTATAGTTTACAGCTGCATGGGCAAAAAGGTGTGACAATCAAACACGAAGAGGTATGCATTCGTTAATAAATGGAAATGTGTTATTCTCTACCCAGGGCTGCACTGATGGCGCATGCAAACCTGTTTCAGTTTATGTAAATCGACAGTTTTCCAAGAACATACTGGATGAATCCTGTCAGGATGATTTATTTAAATTTGACACTCAAAACTCTCATGAATAATTGAATGTATCAATCACTAAAAAGCCTTTTTATAACGAAGAACTTATGGATTTCCACTCGTCTGAACATTTTCTAGAGGTCAAAAATGTATTTGTGATACTTCGAAGTTTGTCCTGCATGAATTTACATTAGCAAACATAGACTAAAGGTGATCAGTGTGTAGTGACTCTACTTTAAAGAGTTCTCTCCTGCTGATGTTCAGGTGTATATCAGTATGTAGTGTCTCTACTTTAAAGAGTCCTCTCCTGCTGATGTTCAGGTGTATATCAGTATGTAGTGTCTCTACTTTAAAGAGTCCTCTCCTGCTGATGTTCAGGTGTATATCAGTATGTAGTGTCTCTACTTTAAAGAGTCCTCTCCTGCTGATGTTCAGGTGTATATCAGTATGTAGTGTCTCTACTTTAAAGAGTCCTCTCCTGCTGATGTTCAGGTGTATATCAGTATGTAGTGTCTCTACTTTAAAGAGTCCTCTCCTGCTGATGTTCAGGTGTATATCCGTATGTAGTGTCTCTACTTTAAAGAGTCCTCTCCTGCTGATGTTCAGGTGTATATCAGTATGTAGTGTCTCTACTTTAAAGAGTCCTCTCCTGCTGATGTTCAGGTGTATATCAGTATGTAGTGTCTCTACTTTAAAGAGTCCTCTCCTGTTCACCAAATCAGGCCTCACACGGCTAATGTGAAATAAAGTTAGATGAATAATAATTATTCATCTCAGATACACAGAAATGACTGTCTTTATAGATAATGCATCAATAGCGTCACAAATATCACAATAAATGCGTACAGAATCCTTCCCATTCTTTTGACATACCAAACACATGGTGATGCACATTAAGTCTAACGATACTGCAATTACAACACTAGGGCAAAAGGACCCCAACTATTACCCCAAAGATTCATCTGCAGACAAAAGAGTTATACGGTTTTAAGCCTCAATAAATACTTTATCTACAGGTGGAAAGGCAGCCTCTTAAACATTAAAATAACCTTATGCTGTGTCTCAATTACTCACCGATACACTTCTCTTGAATTTCGAATCGCAATTCCAATTTATTACAGGCTGCCTATTTAACCTTATTCCATTTTAATTGAATGGTTTATTTGACAGGGACACATTAATGAACACTTGAAACAAAAAATGCGTCAAGTGTAAATATGCCGGATTTTAGCTTTGAGCTACTTTCCATCCGTAGTCCCTCACATCAAAACATTTAAGAACGTGACATTTACAAACAT